TGGTGTGTCTGGTGAGTGGAAGGCTCTAACTTAAATTTCCAGAACCTTGCAGGCTAATGGTAGGTGTCTGAGATGGCTGCCTGTCTTCTCTAGTCAGTGCCAAGAACAAACTTTGCATCAGTATGGTGTAAGTAGAGTAGACAGGTTTGTGCTTTCTGTAGCTGTAAGCAAGCTGTTGAAATGTGGAAAGTGGGAAGGTCACTGTAGATTTTGGCCCTGATAAACTTCTCTTTTTGACATTTGCAACTTCTCTTTTTATTTTGACTCCTAGTTGTATTGCCCAAGTGTTCAGACTTCTGCTCCATCCAGAAAGAAGAGACTTTATTTGCATAGGTGAAAACTGTAATGGCAAGAGAGAGAAGGAACAATAAAAGAAATGGGGTAAATGTTGGGAAGACAAAGTAGTCAGAATGTGATAGGACAAAGAGGAGGTCAAATAAGCAAAACAGAAAAAAAGCTGGACTAAAACAGCTTAATGGAAAATACATAATGTCAGGATACTGGATATTGAAATATGTTAGATGGATAATCTGGTGAATAAGATCCTGTGTAAATAAATGAAAAAACAAACCAATTTGGTTTTCTTTTCCCTACTGTCTTTCTCTTCATGTCTTTAGTGAATTTACCTGTCTTATTTGCAATGTAGAACTCGGGATTCTTAACTGTACTAGAGGTCCTCAGATAAAAAGGACGTGATACAAAGCAAATGTGCCCTCTGAAACACTCATTTCTTGGTAAGAGTAGCAAAACATAATGTAATTAAAATAACTGTCTACAGTGTTTATGTACAATCACATTGAGTAGAGAATACCTTTAATTTCATTGCAAGGTCATATACATGGGGAGGAAGGGTTGATGCTTCTCTCAGACAGCAGTAATCAAAGGCTGGCTACTCAGCTTGGGAAATTGAACAGATTGGAAGGTCTTGGCAGTGATTCCCAAATGCTCAGGAGACTCAACACAATCAGCAGCTTTGACATTTTGGCCAACTAGTTAAATAGTGTTGGCTGTAAACATTACAAGGCAAGTGATCGTCTCCTTGTGTGCTGGCCCTGGGGCATACGCTTCCTGCCTTCTCCCTTGGGAGCAAGGAAGCCTCTTGACCAAGGAGCTCTTTGATGGCATCTTGGGAATAAGCTTCCAGACCATAGCAAAGAAGAGGAATTTTCATTCCTTGGGTGTTAATCACAACAGTAAGTTACAGAGAAGAGAGACAGGGGTGTATACAGGATTGTGCAACTAAGCAGAAGTGAGAGCACCCTGAGTTTACTGAACCTCCACTGCAGAGTTTAACCAAGAATAAGTGCTGCTCCATGTGGATGGTTTAGAGATCAAACTGAAAAGAAGATCCTCATGCATCCAACTCCCTAAAACACAGTATTTATTTTTTTATTTATTCATTTATTTTAGGGAGAAAGCTGCTCATAGAGACTTCCCTACTGTGAGTGCCTGAATTTAGGAAAATCTAGATGTAAGCTATAAAATATCAGATCTGTACAGATACTTGAATTAATTCTTGAAACTCAAATGCGTAAGCAATTGCAGGACTATATTTGCTTGCAAATCTGGTTTAGTGGTGAGAAATCAAGGTGATATGGTAGTGATACCTGTTATAGCAGTTATATATAATGTTAGTTTAGCAGTTATACTATGCTTGTCTATTTGAAGTTGCTGTAATTTGTTTCTTTCTAACGGGCACAAAGTGTGATCCCATGAGTGGTGATGGGGGTTGATGTGTTTCAGTTAAGCTACCTGTTTTTGCATGCTGCTTCTGCATGACATTGAAGGAATGATGACTGCAGGCTGCCTGTAAAACTACGTGTTACAAAGTGGTCTGGTGCAATTCTCAGCAGGCCCATGAGTGCAGAAGTGAAGCCAGCAGCTGAACATCATGTGAACAGTTAAGCCCAGTTCACTTGGAGCCCAGACAGTAGTGTAAGGAGGTACCAATAGCTGAATACATTTTCAATGGGTAAGGTTAGTTTGCAGTCTCTCCACTCTTCTCTGTTCCTGGTAGCTAATAATCATTAGTCCTAATGTATAATACATAAATATATAACACATGAATTAAAATCAACTAGCAGCAGTAGGTAGTCATTGTCAAGAAAGCAGAAAGAGGAAGACAGAACATATTTTTAAACATCCAACTTGTCACTGGAATTGTCTGCTTCATTCTTTCCCACTGTTCCTTTGATGATGTTTCCTTCAAAAATATGTCCTTCATTACATTTTCTGAGCCCTTCTAGGTGTCAAACCAAGACCCAGTGAAATCAGTAAGAGTATGCCACTCACCTTGTTAGGCATGATCCATCAATGTTGAGGTGTTACAGTTTTGGTAAACATCCAACTTGTCACTGGAATTGTCTGCTTCATTCTTTCCCACTGTTCCTTTGATGATGTTTCCTTCAAAAATATGTCCTTCATTACATTTTCTGAGCCCTTCTAGGTGTCAAACCAAGACCCAGTGAAATCAGTAAGAGTATGCCACTCACCTTGTTAGGCATGATCCATCAATGTTGAGGTGTTACAGTTTTGGTTATGGTCCACTCACCTTGTTAGGCATGATCCATCGATGTTGAGGTGTTACAGTTTTTTGGGGTTTATGGTGGTTTGTCATTTCCAAGGAAGGGACCTTAAAGATCATCTAATTCCAGCCCCCACACCATGGACAGGGGCAGCTTCCACTAGACCAGGTTGTTCAAAGCTGGACATAAGATTTCTTACTTGGACTGGTGTGGTTTAGTGAGTGCACTGTGAGTGTAGTCAAAGAGGCATTAGTCTGACTCTAAGCAGTCAGATGGCAGTCCAGAGTTTGTCTTTCAGATAGGGAAGTAGATAATTCCCACTGGCAGACCAGCTACGTAATTCTTCAGAGGAATTTAGCTGCATACAAGCACCATCTAAAAGCAAGTACTTCTTTAGATGAATATGCAGATGTAGAGCACAGAATTCAGTGTAGCTTTTTACCATCCAGTTGAGTTTTAGAAGGCTTTCTCTAAAACACAGCAATGTACTTAATAGATTTACAGGCATGGATGGAGTGAAGCTCAACTTTGCTGGACCAAGTTTGCAAGATTTATCAAGAATAGGATCTTAACTGCAAGGATGCATTCAAATCAAGGTCCCAGCCAAGTGAATGTAGGTAGGCTGCCTCATTCAGAGTGTGGAAATGTGGCAAAGGCATTTGCTGCCCACCTGAGCCAACACCTTTGGGAGCAGCATCTTGCTGCTCTTGAAGTAGGTCTTTGGGATAGATGTTGTCCCTGCAGTAAGGAAGACTATCTTCATT